ATAAATGAACGTGCAGAGAGTTTATCTGGATAGAAACGTACAATATTATGAATACGGATCAATAGATGAAGAAGAAGAGAAACAGAATGAGTGAAAAGAGAAAAGAAATAATGGAGGGAGGGAGGAAGATAGATATTATAATAAAGAGAGAGAGAGAGAGATGTCGAGGGACATGGAGAGAGTGTGTGTGAGAGAGAGAGAGAGAGAGAGAGAGAGAGAGAGAGAGAGAGAGGGGGAGCGAGAGAGAGAAAAAAAGAAAGACAGAAAAGTTATACAGACATGTCTGACAGAGATCGAGATAATTTGAGGCCGGTTGATAATCGGACAGTAATATCTAAGGCGACATAAGAGGCAAATTATCTGCCATTTAACTTAAAATAAGATGGAAAGCTGTCTTTATACTTTCCTATATATCTAAGCATTCATGTCACTCTGATCCCATTAAAATGGTTCGCTGGGGCAATACGTGTATCGTACAGTAGAAGATAGGATTCTAAACCACATGCATTGCCGTACTTTTTGTTCATCATTAGTTATTCTATACTGCGGCCGGACAAAAGAAAGAAGGAGACACACAAATGGAAAGATGAGAGGGAGGCGACAGAACCTGACAGAATGAGGGGAAAGAGTGAGGGAAAGAGAGAGTGAATGAGAGAGAGAGAGGGGGGAGACATAGACAGATACAGAGAGAGACAGAGAGAGAGAGAGAGAGAGAGAGAGAGACAGAGAGACAGAGAGACTGAAGGAGCGAAAAGAGGAAGGAGTGAGTTAGAAAGGAAAAGGAGTACAGAAAAAAATGGTATGAAGGAAGAGGATGGGAAAGTGATAAACATAAAAAGATAAGGGGGAAGAAGGGAGTGAGCTACAGAGGGGAAAAGAAAGAACAGGGAGACGAAGATGAAAGAATGAGAATTAACCGTTGTGCCCTCGACCACATCATTTCCCCTTTCTGTATATCATTTTCCCTTTCTTTATAAATTGCCTGAAAGGGGGTCAATAATCACTCCAGTTGAAACCTCACATTACCCCTCACCTCTGCCAAGAATCTTGAAAAGACCACATGGATTTTCTACGGCCATCACAAAGGCATCAATAGCCAAATAATTAGTTTCCCATCATCTCAACCCGGGATAAAACTCCGCCCAGTCAGTTTGCCAAAAACGTTTTCTAACCCCTGAATACTCTCTTTTATTTCTAAAGGGGGTTGCAAAAAACAAGATTAAATCGAAGCATTGAAAGCCAATTGTGAACGTTGGAGAAAAGAGTGTTTTAGTCCTGCGCGACGGTTGTATAGCGGGACTATAGGCCAGCCTAAATAGGTGTATTAAGGGCAGTTCTATGGGAGGGGAAGGAGAGAGTTGAGTGAGTTGAACAGCATGAAAAGAGCAGCGGACAAAAGATCTAACTGTTTCGATAATCTTGATAATTATGCGGAGACAAGCTTGATGCACTAGCTTCGACGTCTCAAAGCGAGGGGTTGAATAGCCCTCATGGGACTATTCTCCGCTGTCTTATGGATGTTGTACCTGCGCAAGAATAGATCAGTTTCTTTCACGACATGTCATTATGTATCATCACATAGCAATAGATGACAACACAACCCAACCTAATACTTGTACAGCCATGTTTGTGTGGAGGTATTCTAACACATTCCTTGTATACAACCGTCATCATGTCCGTAGTCATGCTTGATACAATGGTATAATTATATTTGTATGTTGTGACCCATTTCTGCTATGAATTAGATACAAATGCCAATTAACACAGGGGTATATATATATTTTAGAGCATTGGGGTAAATAATATTTACGTTCTGCAATGTTATACGAATGATGTAGCGACGATCTAGACAAACATTTTGGTTTGTGTTATAATGACAAATCTTGTATCTCTTTAAAATTTGCTTTACTTTATTTCGGAACTGACATAAAAGTGTTAAAGTTCCATTTCATTCAATATCCCTAATTGTTGTGAAAAAGCACGAACTGTTGTTAAAGAAATATTTGGACCTGTGTGTTATGGCTATTCTAATTCATAAAATTACCCTGTAAACAGTAAGGAGAACATAATGGACAATAAGTACTAAAGTAAATTCGATGTTCAATGTGTTAACGTCCGTATGTATTCTTTAATTGCATTCATAAAATACGAAATCGCTGCATTTCATTTCATTTAAAGGGAGAGGAACAGTTGTCAAACTCTTTACAATTTGGTACAATCTTGACCTTTTGTAAATTCGTTCTCTTTTTCATCTTTTGAATATTTGATTACAAAGTTTGCAATAAGATTATTCATAGCAAATAGTAGAAAATTATACACCCAAATAATAAACCGATACAGGATTTACATGTTTTATGCATTTAAAAATGCATGAAATGTCCTCATGGCTTTCCAAATAGGGTGTAAGATTTAACATAAACAAATAGTACATTCAGACCTATGTTGAATATTCTTGTTCACTTATTTATGTGTGAATAACACTGACAATAATAAAAACACACTCAGATAATAACCATTTTTTCTCATCCATTCAATGATGTTGAATTGTCATGTAAGTTTTTTTCTAGCAAAAGTCAAATTAACATGCTTTGTGTAATATTCTCCAACTTCCACAGTTTAGGAATCAAGCCGTCGTCGCCTGCAATCTTCCAATCATAGATTTTACCACACCACTCTTTTCTTTGCTTCTTGGAAATTTAGAATAAAAAGTTACTGAAAGAAACAATTGAAGCAAAAATATCTAGATTATGGGTCCAAACTATGATCTTTATAATCGTTCTTGAAAATATTTTGCGGTCACGACAGATTCTGCGGCGACAGAATCTTTGACAAGAGGGGCTATCAGCTGTGAAATTCAGCCCGCCACTTCCGCGGGACACGTAGCCACATGTTCTGATCAAACACGGTAAGCGGTTCGCTTTAAATGTTCACTGTATCGGGTTTACAAACAATTGATTTTGGACTATTAGATATCCCTCACTTCTATATTTATTCCGATTATATTAATGCGTGAACGCGTGTCCGCTTCAAAAACTTTTATTCACACCACTGGTTTATTTTATTAGAAGATTTCTTTTTTGTTTTGTTTATATTCTTGTGAAAATACTACCCAAATGGATAAGGGCAAATATAAGAAAGTAATTGTAAAATAATTAAGACAATCAAAGACTTATGAAAGTTATTACAAAAATCAATATAATATATAACCTTTAAACAAAACAAAATAGGATTTGAAAACAGTTGAAATATTTTGTGATTGGAAAATACGGGTGCCAGTTGGATAAACAATTTACAAAAGGAACACATTTAATATTAAGATGCTGTTCTGTAATATGTCTTATTGTTGTATTACTTATAATAGAGATAGTTTTTCAACAATTCCCTTTATAAACATGTTACAGTTTGTAAGAAGATAAGTATCATTGCTATACTGATAAAATCATCAATAATGATGTAACAACTAGGCAAAACAACAAACTAAGGAATGAGAAAGATATGGTAACGTAAGTTTATTATGACACTATTACTTCTATTTACAAAGCTCTAGCAAACTGTAAAACCTCAATTATGACCCTCATAATGCTTTGCGGTTCGGTAAAGGTAATACGGAGTTCAAACAGGAGCTACTGATATGGAAATAGAAAATCATCTTTTGTATTTGAGTAATTGCGACCACTTTGGAGCACTTCCTAAAAGTAAAACCTTAGATCTTTTAATAAAAGAATCTCAGAAAAAGGGAAGAAGTAGAAAAGAACTAGACGAAAACTGAGCTTGGATATAGATCCCCATTCAAGATCCAATGCGGTATTTCAGAAGAGGACAAACTTCTCTAAAATGTCTAACTTGAAAAGTTGTCAAAACATAAATCTGCAATGTTTTTAAAGCGAACAGAGCATAAGCACAGCAAAACAAAAATTTTATCGGTGTTCATGAAAACCCCTAACTTATATTTGTCGTCTTTATTATTCTATTCTAAACTGAACTTCTATGACGATATTGAAATATGGAAATTAATTGATATTTGAGAAAGACATGAAAAATGTATTGTCTATAAACTAAAAAAAGGGGATGATATTTTTATCTGCAAAAAAACCCTCTGTATCAACAGTGTGATATTCATTATAATAAGCTGATTTTGCTGAGTTGAAAGAAAGAAAGAAGTTTACTGGGTAGGATATTTCAACAAACAGCCAGGAGTGTGGCTTCGGTTTTCAAAGAAAGTATTTGAGTTCTCCTTCCCCAGCAATGCATGCATGCATGCAGAATGATCAATTATTCATAATAGTCGCCATGTCCCACTGCTGCACGGACACACATACATTCTGAATAAATGATTGATGAAAACAAGCTTTGTTTCGATTTAAATATATCCCCGCGATTTGGTTGCCCCGACGAATGGTCACTCACCATATACACACGCACTCACGCACACAAAAACACGCGCACACACTCACAGATTCTCGTCACATAGAAAGCGATGACCACAAATTACTTCAGTCATCTGTGTCTGCTGACGCCCGAACACAATGGGCCGCAAAGGGGATCTTTCATGCACAAGCATACTGTTTGCTATGGGTTTGTCGCATTTCACAAATCGATTAGTTATTTAGTGTTAAAGTGCCGTATAATGACGGCGCTTCGTCTAAATTCCCATACACTATTTTCCATTTATTGATTAATATATTCATAAAAAAACTGGGACAGTACGGATGTACATGATTTCTTTTTTTGTAAATAATGAAAACGTGTCCATAATTAAGGTAATGATTAAAATGCGTTTAAGAGAAGGCATCTGTAAATTTGTTTTGTTTTTTGTTTCAATTCTAAAATATATATTCATAAATCACAGCTCAATCGAAATTCGTCTCTCTTACAGTGTATACTAAAAGAGTCTCGTATTACCCTGGTATTATATCATATACGTATGAAAAAAACATCTTCAAATTATAAATGAAGGAAGAAAAAAAGAAAGAAAAATAAGAAAGATTGTCCATTCTTACCTTCCCGCTTTTGTGATAATCATTTCGGTTCCGATCTCATGAAACTTGGTCCAGAGCTCCCTTCCTTCTAGCGTCACCTTGATGTCTTTGGTGGCAGGGTTCTGGGCCGACAGGTCTGGCGGGCGCATCGCTGCTGCCGCCGCCATCATCTGCTGGGTAGCCGCGGCAGCAGCAGCGGTCTTGTGGTCGCTTGGCGGGGCTGGCAGCGGGGTGAAATCTCCAAAGTGACTGCTCCGGTCTGTGGGACATTTGCCAAGGAAGAAGAAGGTTGGCGTCAATACAATCCGATATGAGATGGTATAATTGTACTTATTTATCAATAAAAAGAGACGATAACTATAATATTCATAACATCTACAACATTGTGAAAACATTATAAATGTTCTAGGTTATCATTATAAAAACAAATAAACACACACGAAAAGGGTTAGTCACGTCCGGAGTAAGTTTAAAAACAAATTTTCATTTTGGGTATAAAATCAGGATATTCTCGATTATCGATTTATTCACCTCCTCACAGCATTGTAATTGTGGTCCGACTCAAAACATCAAGCATTTTATGAAATTATTTTATGATACTTTCTCAGCTGGCAATTCAATTTTCGCAAGAATCATCGAATTACGCAGGCATTTCAGTGTGCGTATTAAAAGTCTCACATTGAAGACAATACAAAACAATTCCTTTCCAAATTGCCCAGGCTTTTAACTTTTGTTTTCAAATTTTATTCACAAATAATTTTTCTTTAGATTGGGTGGATGATATAATAGGATGACACTATGCGTAAATGAATATTGATGTACAATATTCTCTGATTTTCACGATTTTCAGGTAATATTGTAATCAGAAGGTGATGACACTTTGTCCCGTTTGAATAATAACAAATGAAAAGATCCGCACAAACATTTTAAAAGTTGTGATATTTCAATGATCTTCTAAATACCGTTCTCTTCTAGTGTTATATGCTACATTTCTTTTACAATCGTGATAACGAAAACCGAAGTGCAGTATTATGTTTCTGTATGGTGAGATGAACCTGAATCCATGTTACAGATACATGTATCATGCTTACAATTACATTTAGTCCCGTACATAGTTTGGTTAATGAGTCATCAGAAATAATAATTGTCAAATTTAATCGCTTAAAATTAAGTGGTAAACTGAAACTATTGATGAGATCAAATACCTATTCACTCAAAGGTAAGTACGGAAGTCACGAGATGTTTAGGATTTTTTTTTTGGAGAGGAGGGGGAGGGGGGGGGGGTGTGCAGGTCAGTAGCGCATGGGCACTCACTCACTCGTTCAATACTGATTACATAATATCCCCATGTCCATTACAAATCGAAGTCAAACGGATTAAACCATTCTAGTAGCCCTCCCACAGCTCTTGTCAAAAGAAAGAAAACGTGGGATGTGTCCACAGCTAACTGCTAATGAGCAATTTTCTATTAGCCCAGGCTGTCAAAAGATAATTGCCATTATTACGTGCCTCGGCCGTGTCTGACATGGGGCACCGCGCATCGACCCGTTTGTACATCAGGGGCGCATTAAAAAGCATTCAGCGTGCAAGGCGAGTGGAGGGCGTTTAGAGGAGGGGGGGGGGGGGGGGGGTAGTAACTAAAATTAACGGAGAGGTGATAGATGTTAAGTAAGGCTGATTATATGTTTGTTAGGAGCAGGGCTTAATGCACACTGACATATTTGACAGGTCGTACGCGCGGCAAGTAACTGTTTTCGATTGTGGGCTTAATTGATTAGAAGGTAAATATTCCGTCCATGGCCTGCACAAGCACTGTGTGGTATAGGTAGTATGAGAGGACAGAGAAAAGGAGAAAAAAGAAAGAGGGAAAGAGAGAAAGGGAGGGAGGGAGAGATTGACTTATAATCACGGGCTTATATTCATGTAAACGTCTTTGAGATATCCCTCTTAAGTGAAACAAAAAGAGAAATTATTCTTCAGCATTATCGACCAACACACAGGAAAACAATAACAAAACATACATTTACGAACTTAAAATTGGATATACATGTACATTATACATTGCAATGGGCGCCAGTCATGCCAGTTTTTTTCATTCACAGCATTGCCCACAGGCTAAGGAAACGCTTGGAAATATTTGACCTCCATTTGAGAAGTAAAGGTACATAAAACCAATAAAGATACTTTTGATATACTTTTAATACTTAACGTGTAATGAAATGTTTCTAGAATCTCAATGTCGTCATAGATAATAACGAGAGAGAGAGTTCTGTAAAAGGTCAAAAGAGAAAATACAAACATTGGGTTCTTCAGAAAGGGTAACAAGCAAAGGCAACAAGTTCGTCGAGCAATAAAGATAGCCGTTTGCAAGACAAACGTAATAGAAGTATGCTCCTATGAGAGCTTTATATCTTGCTGATCATCCGATTTATATCAGCTTTCCACTTACGGTCAAGGATCTTGACTCTTACTTGTGTAACATGGTCAGTTGGGCCACATTTATCACTAATATGGAATGACTGAGCTACAATAAATCACCCGATAGAATTACACATGGGCGAAATAAAGATGTTTTCAATTTCAATCAGCTCAACATCTCCAGACAGTCATAAAAATAGTGATATATAAGTTTCCTCTACACTTATATAATATATATGGAGAAAGAGAGATTCTTTATTGTGATTGCAGTTCAGGGAATACATATTTGATAGACATAATTAAATTTTGAACCAACAGATGAGCTAAGGAAATATCAAACTATTTGTAACAGTTTTTGTCTTAACCATCATCCTTGTGTGCGTGCGTGTGTGTGTTGGGGGGGGGGGGAGGAGGCGCCAAAACAATGCACGTCGATTGATCTCTACTGGAATGGGCCATACACCCTGTACGCGCTCATGTTTCAAAATGCTATAAACGTTATCAAGTAAAATTGTACCAGTGTCATTCATAACTATTTTCAATAATTACAAAATAACGGCTCATTACTCTCGATATTTGTATTGATTCATGTTATTAATTCGTTTATCGTGTGTTTTTTACACCTTATTATATTAACTTTTATTTACATTTGTATTATCATTATCATGTGTTGTGATTTTTAGTATTTCATTCAAACAAAGTCAGATGAATCACAGAGCTGGACACAGCTACCTTGAAAAGAAATAGTTTTACAGACAATCCAATACACTTACAGGGATATTTTTTTCTCTGAAAATTTATCATAAACAAATTGCAGAGATAAAGATAGCATGGGTGTAATATCGAATTGTTTGCTTCTTCTCTTGCCCAGTGGTGACCGTCAAAAGGCTTAACTTTACTCAACATGGTTAACAACAATTTTACGACTCTTTTGTCTCTTGGTAAAGCTGAAATAAAAGGATATATTTTTTATGAATAAAAAGAATAAAAAGGAAGTTGTTATAAGAAACTTTTCTATTGTATCAAACGATGTTCTGTATATTAAACGGAATATTGCATTTGTAATAATAAGATAGTGACGAGTTGTCAGCTTCAACATTCAATATAAGTGGTACCCTTTCATTAAATAACAAACTTTTGAACAGTCATCGATCGATCTGCAGAATTATAATATGTTGTTGTTGTTGCCTGAGTTGAATATCAGGTTTAATTTCCCTTTAAATTATGGCGTGATATACACAACTTCGCTGAACCATTGACTACCATGCACGTCTGGGTTCGTGGATGTTGGATGGATGACAATTCTGTCATCGGGAGCAGCGAAGAGTCACAGCGGATGCACGATATGGGACCTCGTTTTTACCCGTCGCGTATGAATAAAATATGAGAGAGTGATAAAGTATGTAAATGTATGCCACACACGGATCTTGTATGGACGTGGCTGGTTGGGCCAGCTACATAATCATCACGGTAAAACAAGATGACTGTACTGTTATGTATCCTTCCGACTTTCAACGACTGGAATCAAGTTAAAACAAATCGACAAACAATTTTATTACGCACACGATAGATATAACGATTTACCAATTTTTGTTTTTGTTGGATGAATCTGAATTGATGTGCATGAACATGATATCGAGGGGAAGAAAATTACCAAATTACTTTAAGTACTAAATTAAGAAATGAAACTAAGCAACATTTACAAAACCCAATGTATATGTTAAGCTTATTGTTATAAAGTTTCATGATATTGGATATCTAAGGATATTCCAAGTTGTATCAACAATAATTATATGTGATGTCAGTAACATTCTGATTATCTTCACTTGTTATTGTTTAATATACAGAACACATATTCATTTATCAGTGATTATGTCTATTCTTGCATTCTACATGCATGCTTCCTGTGGTTCACCTCACTGTAATCATGATACGTTTAGCAAACTAATAAGATTATCATAAATCCGTCGAAAAGACCTTCTCGCCAAGGTGTATCGATGTCAAATAACTAAGAAATTAATAAAGAGACATTAATTTGTATGATTCTTATGAAAGAGAAGATAGAACTTGATTAATTAATCTTCCGATTATGAACCTATAATCCCTCAGATTTTATTTTGTCTTCAAATTCTTTTGAAAATGTAATTGTTTTAATGACACGTTCAAAAGTATTCGTTCAATCCTTTTAAAACACATTTTCCTTCGAATCAAAATATATACATATTACATTCGTCACTGTGATGGTTTTTTCATCAGTCTGGAAAGATAACTCTACAAAATTTCATGAGGCAGTCATTGATTGCGAGTTTTGAAGGGCTTTAACTACGAAACATCAAATCCAAATCCAAAATGAAGAAAAATGATCTGAAGAGATGGAGTATATTATATTCTCCTGAATTCGTTTAGGTGAACTTATTTTTCTATCACATATAAGTGAATATAACAAACCAAGCTTTCAAAAGATTTAATAAACATAGAGTAGAATACAACGTATACAAAGTGGTACAATAATGTTTCCATAAAATCATTGAGACATGAGTTTCACAAATATTCTAGTTCAGATGATTTAGTCATTTTCAGCATATTTAGATGAAAAGAAGTCATTCCTCGATTTCTTTCTGTTTAAAGCAGAGCTGTACAGGATTTGAGTCGAATGTTATAATCTGATATTTCAATCATGAAAAAGAATTTTGAATCTTACTCAGAATAAGAGCGACGTTTGGGGTTTTAACTTGACAAAGAACCTACAAATCGGGAGCATGGGAGAGGAGAAGAAGAAAAAAATCCTGGCGTAATTATGTTTGAGTTGGAGGGCATAAGAATGTCCACATCTTTATTAGCCATATATAAACGATTCTATTTAAATGGGAGTAAAGATGAATTGAGTGAACAATGGGAAAGCGAAGTCCATTGAAGGTGATGCCACTGTGAGCACGTTAGCTTGTTTGGCTTACTCTCTTGGTTTAACATTGCCATTAAGTGGCTGTGAAGAAGCTCTTCAGAACCTCTTGATAGGGATACCACGCATCTTCAGAATGACTTCTACCACTCTTAAAGCTCATCCTCGGTTTTCAATCACCATTTAACCACATCAACCCTAATCCCAAGACAGAGAAGATTTCGTCATATTTCTACATTTTGAGTTGAATATGGTATGGTAATCATCACTCTAAACTGCCGACAATTTGTTTTCTTTCAAGGAGAATTGATCGAGAGAGTGAAGGAAAATAACTTACGAAAAATTGTAAAATTTATACTATTTTGTCGATTTCAGGGAAGATTATTATATTTCAATTGATTGAAAGAGTAGCAAGGGTGGTTTGTTTACTTTTGTTTCCACGTCTGTTACCAAGAGCAGGTATAAACACAATAAAGTTATTCTAAATTATCTGTTATTTTATTTGTGTTTGAGATTTCGTTCTTTTGATACGAAATCATAAAAATTAGTTACTAGTTTTTGAGTTTGTTATTCTTGGTTATCTGGCTTTTTATATGATATTATACTTGATCAACGTTTGCGTTGTAACCACATCAATTATAACAGTACCTTTAAATCTTTCTCACAACGACGTCACGCAATATAAATCGTTTGTTGGTTTTACCTATATTCATTACGTTATTGGTTTACCTATTTAGCAAGGAGAAATGGAGGACGTCTTGAAGGGAAATATTCGTGCATGCTATCTCATGTTTATAGACATGTCGTGGGATTGTTCTTTCCAGATCAGACCTAATTCCAGTGGGAATTCCGTGTGTGCTCTTTAGGACTGTACACACTCTGCACTGATGTATTAAACGTTTATTCAACAGCGAGGGGTAAAAGAAAGGAAAGAGAAAAGCTGGAAAAAGAGGGCAAATTGCAAAATGTGTAACTTCGTGCCGGTGACAAATAGCCATGACACCTCCTGAGCTTTTTGAGCTGTCTTTGCATACAAACGTCCCTTAGAAAATGATCCATTCGCAGCGCATATATACAAACGATCCCTCCTCTCATTTGCTTGTGGAATACAAACGAATTAAAGGGATAGGAGAGGCTGCTAAAGAGGCAATACTTGGACAAATGAGGTGTGTCAATAAGACATGAGTTTCTGTGTCGCAGGCGGAGGGAAGCGGGGAGAGGGAGGAGGAGGATTGGTGTATAGGGTTGTCGTTCTGACCGGCCTTCGAGGCGAGCGATGGAGTACCGAGCCGCCTGCCGCAGCCCGTGCATAGCTAACTCATCAGATAGGATGACAGCCATCCCCACTCAGCCGCATCGAATACTGTAAATATTTAACAAGGAGAGGGGACTGCAAAAGGGGCCCATCCGATGTCAAAGATACACAGTATCCTCTCGTGAGATATTGATAGTCTAATTTGATTCAAGATCTTTTATTTCAAAAAGAAAATTGTTACTTTTTATTTTCCCTCTATATACATTCATTTACTCTGCGGTGTTGAAAAGTTGATAGGATTTTTCGGATCAGTTTTGTTGTCATATATCCCTTTTTTTTTTTTACCTTCCAACATTATTTCGTAAACAAAATACTCAGAGTAAAATACAACTAAAATGGTGCATCCGCAAGCCTATGGTATAACTATAATGTAACTAAATGCGAAATGAGATATTCCTACGGATCTTAGACTTTGAAGTACTTTGCCAAGAAACTCTTTTAATTTCTAAGTCATACAAATCCAAATAGAATCCTTCTCTTGGGTATTGGGTACAATTTTTTGCCCAGCACGAAGTTAATTATGTATCCAAATAACTTTGGGCATTGTCTTTACCCATTTTCCCATTAAGTTCAAACTATAGAATAATTACTTCGACAATGGGTAAAGTATTAACCAAATTAAGTAAACAAATACAAATACAAAACGTTGGTTGGATATGTAATTACCCCAATGGCACATTTTTTTAAATCCGGTATTCTGGCATATGATATTATACACGTCTGTTAATCTCTGAGAAATATAATATGTAGAAAGAAATATCTTTGTTTTAGATAAACGAATAGACAGTTTTTTTTTAATAAACGATTATTTGGAGGTATTGTTTTTTTTCTACTTCTTTACGTTCACAATTATTTGTACTTTCCTTTCCGTCTCTCTGGTATTATTTTTGTACTTCAGTTGTTAATTTCTTTTTCAAAGAAATTTCTACTTGACATTGCAATAATAAAGTTAAATTTGCCTATCGGATGATCAAAGTTTTTCAAAAAGGAAATAAAAACAATAAATATTCCATGAAGTGTAAACAAAAGATAATAAATTAAAACCTGGATAGGAATATAGATAGGCCTATCATATACATGAGTATTAAGGAATATGACAAGTAATATTGCAAAGTTTGAAGTTGAAGCTTCACTCTTGAGAACCGAGTACGTGATCTGTGCTAAATACTATTATGCAATCTGAATGAATGGGAAGCAATAGATTAAGAGTGTGGGTGTTTGTAGAGAGGTGTTGATGTGGGTTGAGTTGAAGAGGGGTTGTTACACCTCACCTGAGAATCCCAACGAATTATGATTCGACGACTGCATGGGTAGACCTGGGTAGGAGAAGCTCCTAGGTGCTGGGGGCACGATGCTGTTGAGAGCAAAGGCGTGAGCCCGGGCACGATGATGGTTGAGGTATTCCTCGCTACCGTCATACATCATTCCCACTTGTCACCACCACCGAGAGAAAGAGAGAGTCAAGAAACAAGCCTACAATCAGCCGCTAACAAACTTCCAAGGGGGCGACAAAATCGAACGATGTCGGCGACGAACTTCTCAAGTCCAGAGTAGAGATCTCGCTTTTTGGGGTGAAGTACAGAGGGAAGAGAGAGTGGGAGAAAAAACAATGCCACCGTGCGCGCATTCCCAACCTTGGTGCACTCGTGAAAAACTTGGTGTCGAGAGAGCGAGAATGGTTTTATTTATATCTCCAGATTCACGTCCCGGTGAGAACTGAGGAGGAAGAACAGTATGAAAAAAAATGGTTCTTTACGTGGATTCATCGGAGATCGTGCCGAAACACCAATTAAAGACCTATTATGAAGTGCCTCCGACTAGGTTATACCGTTTAGACAAGCGCGACTTACAACGGGCGCTGATTGGTCCAATGCGCACGTCCATCACCAGCACAGTGACCACGCCCATGAGTCCGCCATCGAGAGGGTACTCTTTCTGCAGCATGATCATGAGTTGAGGCGACAGCTTTGCTCTATGCAGGCACAAAAGCACGCATTTTCTCGCGAGCGCACTCTTTGTTGAATGGCATTCACAGCGGCTCTGTTTGTTTGAGTCAAATTTTCCGGTTTTACACGTGTGTCTTTTCAAGCTCAGTAAATCAGCGCTTGATACACTCTGAGAAGCGTGCTTCTTATTTCCAACACACACAAAAAGAAACATTAAGTCTAAGATGTTTCTTAAGCAAGCCGATTACTGCATTAATGAAGTTAACAATCTTTGTCATATTTTTGTTAAATCCAGCATCGATTTCAATGAGGACATTTCAAACAAAAATGATATTATAAAATAGCTAAATTCATTAGTGATGCTGTTCATCATCTATAAAAATTATTTTTAAAAAAGGAAAACAAGTACGTCACCCAAACACATGGCAGAACACATATGATGAGTCGAAAGTCTGGTTTGTAATGGATTTTAGCCAATCATGGATTAGAATATATCCGATATCAACTCCAAACGCTGGCATAAGATGACGCGAAAATGATGAAGTAGAGAAGTTTCATGCTTTAAATCCAACAGATTCTAGTTTGATATATATATATATATTCTCATCAGATCCTTTCGATAAAACTACGTCAATGAAATGATTGTACGGCCTCATACTTTATTTTTAATTTTTTCCTTTACAAATTAGTACAATGTGTTATAGATACTAACCTATTTCAATTCGTAAAAATGTATGACTTCAGAATGTTTATTGTCACATTTCGGAATTGATGATAATTCTGAATAATGAGATATTGTCGATACTGAGTATATAAAACGATGTTTTTGTTCTTGTGGGTGCAAGATACCTATTTCTTAATTTTACCTGAGCTTTGTGTCAAATAATGCGCTGACAATGTCAACTTTCCCCTTCCCCTATTCCTCTTTCTCTTTATCTCTCTCCCCCTCCCCAAAGTCTCTGTCGCTTTCTCTTTAACCCCTCTTTATACCCCTCTCCCCTCCCTCACTGCCCCTTCCTCGATGTTATTTTCTCCTCTTTTCTTACAGTAAAACTGATGTGAGATGAGTATTTTGTAAGAATTCAAGCCAACCAGTAACCCTTTTTACGTCCATCTGTCGCTGTGCATTTTAATCCTTATCATATTTTCGTCCGCAGCTCAATTGTTAGCCCATTATCTCACACTTATATTCTTGCCTTTTTACGTCGTAGACGCGCCTGAGTGATCGCTTTGCCCGAATGGCCCGAAATGGACCCAATTTGTCAAAAAATGTTCCGCAACGAAGAGAGAAAACCAAGGAACCTCTTCATCTGTCTTGTGCGATATGGTTCATTTGGTAGTCATAGAATCCCGCGCCGCGCAATCAGTGGTTACGAGCGCGTGAAGGAACGAGCTCCCGGGCTGGAGGGCCGTCAACAGCGACCTCACCAAGCGTGACGGAAAAACCAAATAGTGCAGGGCTCCTTCTACTACACCAAACCTCATACAAGCCCCTTCTCCTCTCAAACAATTCTTTGCATTTTACTTCCTCTCTTTCGTCATCAAACATAAGGCGCTAAAAGATTCATATGTCAAATCACAAAAAAGTAAAGAGGGAAAATATTGAAGTGTTCGGTAAATTTGACTTCATACTTGTAGAGGAAAATAGTCCTATTGGGGGTTTTGATTTGACAAATAGAATGATATTTGATACAAATCGATGTGATTTTCAGAGTCTGTAGTGTTTCCTGGGCTCTCTGGGGTGTATATTTATATCGCCAAATATCACTCACGGAATTTGTGAGTGAATACTACAATGCGACCAGCCGCCTGAGGGGGTATTTATGACAAGTGGCTCTTACAATTGCTTACCTGGCAAAAGATGAATACATTTCCATATCGTTGTAGTTATTCTTGTCAAAATATGAATCTTATTCGCGCAAACTGGGCCACTGGAGTTGACGATTCAAACACCTCGTTCCCCGTGATCCTCCCTGGAATGCAACGCTATCTCTCAGTTCTCAAGTTTTATTTGACGCTTTGAATATATACATTCTCTTATTTCGATCTCAATTCATCTGATAAATCGTCCAGTCCAACTAAGCTTTGTTTTAAACTTTCATCATTTAAAGAGAAAAATGTTTTAGAAGAGTTGAAGAGCGACGATGAAAAAAACAAGAATCCTCACTCCATCTCTTAGGGCTCCTACTTGAATCAAGGATTGGTAATGTGTTAGAATAACGTTGATTTTGATACCTCTGTTTAGTTAACATTTATTTTGGATGAGAGAGAAAAACAAACAATAAACAACGAAACTAATAATAAAAGTAATAATAATAATAATAATAACAATAATAATAATAGCGAGTGATGTTTTCTAAACCATTGATATCCTGTAAAATTTAAAAACAATTATTAGATTTGATGATCTACTCTCTGTTTTTCAACAATAAAATGTGTATATCTTTATGTATTAGTTATTACTAGTTTTATGTATCTCTTCGTCCTTTTGTTTTGATTATGTTTTCCTTTTGTTATGCATGTGAACATGTTGGAAAATAATTTGTAATTTGATATTTCACCTTTTTCAAGAAGAACTACAAATAAATCAAAAGATATTAGTTGTCGGTAAGGACATAGGAAACAAGAAATAAACTCTCCTTTATATCATTCAAGATTATGCGCAATATCCAATTTATGAATGCTACGTTAAAAAGATTGTCAACGGTTTTGTTATTTACTCGCATGATTTTGTTTTGTTTAATTAAAGTCGTTGCTAAGATTGTATTTAAGGTATGAATGTGTTATCAAAGAAAATAATACTAAGCTCAAAGGATTGTGGAATATACTTTAATTGTTAGACAATGTAATATATCAATCAAATATTGAGTAATAAATGTAAATATGTATTGAAATTATGGAGATGAAAAAATCGCTTGAGGAAAAGAGAGAACAAAAATGTCGAATCTCCATATAAATATATGAACAATGAAAAAAATAAAGTTTTTAAACATATTGAAATAGTGCGCTTGTGTAGCTCATTGTAAATAATTTATCCCCATAATAGAATAGTTATGATATATATCATGACGCATAGTAGTATAGACTGCGGCATGCTGTGAGGATTAAATACTTTTGTTTTTACTATATATCTTGTATAATGACTTGCTGACATCTGTAGCATGTGCAGAGATTTACACCTGTATGTAAACCTTTACATATATGTTCAGAGACTTATATTTGTAAAATATGGTATACATATAAATACATACAAGTGTAGAATTTATTGTAGTATTGATACGTGTAGAAAGAAAAGAATTAGGATGTACCAAAGCGTATTTAGTTTCTGGTCACGACACGTTACCAAAGAATATTAATAATAACTTTAATAATATAGGATTTCTCGGTCACTTTCGTAAGCTGGCCACACAAATTCATTTTATGTTCATTCAATTTCGCCGATTCTGTCACCGCAGCTGTTATTTATTCGTTCAAATTCGTTTTTTAGCATTCAAATTCCTAAAACGATCATTCAAAAACATTTCATTTTCATTCAAATTAAAACGTGTTTCTTTTTCGTAAAATTGTCATTCAATTTAAAGCGAGACGATTCGCGATTACGTAATAGCGTCTTCCGTGAATTAAAATTCGTTTCTTTGCATACAGTTTCACACGTTTTGCAGACAAATTAAACATCTTACCCAGTATGATCATATATAGAACCCCCGCAAGCTTAGTTCCATGTTAAATCCATTTCAAATTGTATGGGTTGGTAAGCAACAAACATGTTATTTGTCCTCACTATGGGTGTAAATGTATACCCACTAAATCATCACTATTTAGCAACTGAACGATCATGTGTTAAAGGTAATACAAAGTTTTGGGAAATTTTGAAAATTGGGTGGATCGTGATTCTTACAATTTTGATATATTTGGATGCCCCTGTGGATGTATTATAAGCACTAGAAAATTAAGCCCCTAAAACACTTCTGCTTTTGAGAAACATTGAATATAAAAATTTACCGGTGCTCCCGGTAAATGTTGATAAATTTCAAATAGCGCCTACGGCTGTACAATAGTAGCTGCGACCATGAAACTCTCAGAATATGTAGTTGTGATATATAATTCCCAAACAGGAACAGCTAATCAGTAGATTTTAGTCAAAAACATTGTTTTGTAGCTTACTTAATTTTTTGACCTTGAGAGGGAGCTATACATCATAAAGAGTTTATTATTTACAATTTCACTACTTTAGACTCGATTTCAACCGCGACAACGATCACTGAATATTGTAGGATCGCATATGCTTCCAATATGTTCATTTGAACCAAATTCATGACCCCATACCAAAACTTTGTATTACCTTTAAGTAGATAAAACCTAGCCATATCAATATAGAATTAGCATGGAACTAAGCAAGAGTGTCTTTTTTATGAATATGCAATGATATAAGTACATGCAAAGTGTGTGTTTACAGACTACGGTTGTATTTATTGGAGTGGCGTACCATAATGGTGGGGGGGGGGGGGTGGTTTCAATACTCTATACTTTGGTTTATTTTTAATGTTTAGTTTGGTTATGTTTTTGATAATTTATTCGATGTTCGTAACCTCTTTGAAGCCATTTATATTTGTGTAAATTATATTTCGTCTGTATTGAACATGTTAAGAACAATCTATGAGTATCAGTTCAATCACAATCATAATCACATTAAAATCTGAATCACCATCACACTGAATCACAATCACAATCGTAATCACCATCTCAATTACAATCACGATCACGCTACACAATCATCAATGAGTTTGATACATTGTTTTCTCACTGCGCGCACATCTCAATAGCTAATGCCATGTGGACATAAACTAAAGAATACTTACATACAATCTGAAATCTTGTTTTGGTTATATATATATTTCAATGAACATAATTACATCATGCATGACATCATCATGTTCGTCTACATCATATCACTTCCAAAAGACGACCGGGTACGATAAAGTCAGTGATGAGAACATCAGTAAGATGATGTCCAATCTTTTATTTAGAGTTGTTTAACCCTCTACATGTTGATGGGCAAGACATCTAGGCATGTTATA